GTGTCTCTGTGTGTGTGTCTCTGTGTGTGTGTGTATCTGGGTGTGGGTGCAGCTCTGTGTGTGTCTGTGTGTGTGTATCTGGATGTGTGTGTCTCTGTGTGTGTCTGTGTCTGTGTGGGTATCTGGATGTATGTCTGTGTGTGTATCTGTGCATATCTCTGTGTGTGTATGTGCACGTCTGAATGTGTACAGTGAGCAAGTGACAATAATAGGTGGGTGTGGCCCTGTATTAGCAGCTCGCAAAGCGGGTGAAGGGAGTGTGGGAGTTTTTTGGGCTATTTTGTGACTTTTTGCATGTTTGGAAACCAACCATCAGGACGGGACAGGAAGGAAACAAAGCCAGGGTGACAAGGGCGTTTTGTGTTCCCCGAGGGGTCTCCCTGGGGATCCAGGGCGGTGGAGACGTCTCGGGAATTAGTGGTGGCGGGAGGTTAAGACGGGTCGTCAGACAGGCTGCGTCTGAGTCCCCTCCCGGCTCATGAACGGCCCGACCTCTGGGCATTGTGTCCTCCTCTGCAGGACGGGCCAGTCACCGCGCCCACGCTGCACCTCCCACGAGGGAGCCACGGTCGTGTGAAACACCAGAGCAGCGGTGGTCTTGGGTAGAGGCCTGGGCCTGAGGCAGCCCCGAGAGTGCGCCGTGGTGGTGCGGACCCTCAAATGGCCTTCTGACATCGTGATCAATCAGCCCCGTGTGGGCTTCCCCGCTGTCAGAGGGGAGTGACCACGTCTGCCAAACCCGCCACGTGTCTGGCTTCCAGATTCCAAAACATCAGGATAAATGGTCTGAAATCTAAATGCAAAATCTCTTAACCAAAGAGTTTGGGGACATGAATTGAACAAAATCAGCCTGAAGTCTGGAAACTTCTGAGCAGTGCAGGGACCCGCTGCAATAGTGGAGCCGGGTGCCCATCCCTGGGGACGCAGGAGGCCACCAGAATGCAGACCCTTCCTGCCGGCACTAGGTCCCAGCCACATCAGGCTCTCCGTCAGCCTGGTGCCTGCATGAACAACAGCTGTGCTATTGGCGGAGATTCATTCCTTTTCAGAAGAGATGGGGAAGCAACATTTTGAAGTAAACATAAGGAGCAGTGTTTAAAAGTGTCACTTAAGAAAAGGATACAACTTAAAACTGCATCAATGGGGTCCAATTATGTGAATTACGGCACACGTGTAAACAGAGTCTCAGGCAACAGTTAAAAAGACTGAGGTAGACACACGTGTGATGATATAGAAAAATATTCAAAAACCCGGTTTAGTGAAAAATGCCAAAAGGAAACCATTGTGTATTTGTGGAGAGAAATCGTGTGTGTGTGTGTGTGTGTGTGTGTGTACAACACAGAAATGCGAGTATGCCACACACATGGCCCTGACCGTATGTGAAGAAACGTTTCTGGAAGGATCCCCAAGGAATCGTGCTGGGCCTGGCCGAGTGACTCTGCATGACGCTTTGGAAGGATCTTGCCCTCCTCACGCACTGTTCACAGCATTTGAGCTTCTGAAGCTGTGTGTGTTGCCTTTATAATAAAATGAAATCAACGAGTATCAAATTTTTAAAAGTTTGAGTAGGTGTGGTATTCACCTCATTACTGTTTATGGTTTTTTCTTTTCCGCTTTTGCATTTCTCTATAACAGGAAATAAGATGGGGGGACAGTTTCATTCTTATTTTATGGTCTATGGATTTTCGTTTATGTGTTTTAATCTGTAATCGCTGTGAGTAGACTCACTCCCTGATTCTCTAGGACAGATTTAATTCTCCTAAATGGTCAATAAGATGGAGACCAAGCAGCTTCTTCTAATCTGCTTGCACCCGACTTATTTGAGGCTGGCTTCTCCTCTGCACTGCGGAGCGGACAGGGCCCCTGTTGGGTAAGCCTGTGAACGGGATCTCACTCCAGAACAGTGACCATGTGGCTGTGCCTCTAGGAAAAGCGTCAATCACTTTACCTGGGCTTCTCTTCCTGGAAGACAATTCTCTTCTCATCTCCCACACCCACTAACTCTGCTGGGCCCTGCCTGCTGGAGGCGAGTGGGGTGGGAGCCCTTCCCCAGCCTGTCCATCTTTCCGCCTCTTCTGACTGAAAAGCTTCAGCAGCGGCAAAGATTAGTTTAGTTATTCAGGGGGACACTTTGGTGCAATCTGCGTGGCATATGACGGCCCCCAGGGTTTCGTCATCGAGACCTTCACACCTTCCTAAGAACGGAGAGTGATGGATTCTACAGAAACCCACCGTCTCTCCTGTCCCCACAGCCCAGGGCAACAGGGGTGAGGAGGAACGGGAAGAGGGCCCAGTGGTCCCAGGAGGCCTCAGCGCCCGAGTCTCTGCAGCAAGCGTCCTGAGGGCTCTGGGGACAGGCTGGCTGTGCTCACAGGAGGGCCTTCAAGAAAAGACCTGCAATCACCAAGACAGGTCCAGCCAAGCCACCCAAGCGCTGGGTTACACATCAGTCACCAACTGCAGTTTTGTTCACACCAGATGCCACTTCAGAAAGATCGCGTCCAAGGCTATTTTTAACGAGAGCAAGTGTTCTCTTTTTCACGACTCAGAGAGAGAACCTCCAGCCACAGGAACAGCTCTGTCTCCTTGTCCTCGAGCCGGACCCGACCCCCAAGGGCGAGACAGCTGCGGACCACAGAGGGGGCGGGAGGGTGGGGCTGTACAAGAGCCCGCTAGGTCCTGGTTTTCCCAGTCAGCTGTCCCAAAAGAGGCGGGTTTTGTGGCTCTAGTGTGAGTAAAACGCGGGCTGGCAAGTTAGAGGCTGTGCCCTGGCTGTGTCCTGAGCAGCAACACGACTGTTCTGCGTGAGAACACGGCAGTGAGCAGGCAGACGCAGTGCGGACGCCCCTGAGGGAGTCAGGGGAGTCCGGGGAGTTGCCGAAACGCATGTGTAAGAGCTAGAAACCTCGATGGAAGCTCTGCGGCCGGTGGGCCCATCTGAGCAGAGGCGTCGTGGTTAGTGTTATTGAAGTGAGTCAGCAAACAGCATTAGTTTTGCACCAGAATAAAATACACCAATTGTCCAAGAGGCAACTTGTGACCACTGTATTTGCAGGTTTGAGGGCAGCAAATCCAACGTGGCGTCAATAACGCACTCAGTTTGGGCTGGGATAGGAAAAATACTCCCGTAGGACAAACAATGTATTTTATGCAGCAATAGGGTTCTGAGATTGGGAGGGAGGGTTAAGGTGTGATGTGGCCGGTTAGGCGGGGTTCTTGGCGAGCTGGGAGCTGCGCTTGCGTTGCCTGTGGACACCCCTGGGCACCCAGAGCCGGAATCGGCTCCCAGGAGGGGATGGTAGAGGGCTTTACTTCTCCTCCGTGGACAGGCGGTAGAGGGCTGTGCCCAGGCGTCTCAGCTCCTCCTGCTCCAGGCCTTGGTACAGGCCCGCGGGAACGGTATCCAGGCCGTGCAGCAGTCCAAACAGGCAGCCCGCGATGGTCCCCGTGGCCCCACTCTCACCTGGAACGGAGACAGAGGTCCTCAGGGGGGCCGAGGGCAGGGCGGGAAGGGGCGATCTCTGAGAACCCAACACTAATCAGGGCCAAGGCCGTCTTAGAGACCCTTCCTGGCTGACCACCCCAGGGCAGACAGCGCCAGGCCTTTCTCAGCCTCCTCCGACTCCTGCCGATCCCAGTTCTGCTCTGGGCAGCACCCCACGGGCCCTGGGGTCTCCCTTCCTCCCTCCTTGAACACACACGATCGTGCGCAGAAGCCTTTGCGTCTCCAGGGTCTGGCGCTCAGGGAGACCAAGTCCTGCGGGGACAGGTCCCGAGGGCTCCTCCCCTCCAGGCTCTCCTGGGCTCCCCGAGTCCACGCGGGCTCCTCCGTCCCTCGCTGTCCACACCTCCTGCTCTCAGCTACTGGGGCTGGAGGATGGCTGCCCTCTGCCGGGCCCCTCCTCTCAGGCTCACAACCCGCCGCTGCCCTTGGCTCCCACCGCCCTCCCCTCCTCGTCCCCAGCTGGGAGCCCCCAGGATCTCACGGGAGCCCTGTTGGCCCCCTGGGAAGCGCTGTCATCTCAACCCTCTCGGCACCAGGAACAGTGGGCAGACCTGATAACAGTCACTGTGAGGGGGACGGAGAATCAGCGCCCAGCGGCCCCTCTAATTTCACACTCAGAGAAAATGGGCGCCTGGGAGTGAAGCAAACCCACCCAGCCGTGGGACGGGGACTGCTGCCACCGAAAGGCTCGTGCTGAGCTGTGGGCACTGGCCTTGAACTGTCTCAACAGCCCCTCAAGGGGGGTCCTCGCCTTTCACAGAGACAGGCCCGGAACCGGGATTCGAATTTGGGGCCACCTGACTCCAAAGTGCGACCTCTGTGGCCACAGAGTCTGCAGGGGAGCCGAGACGAGAGGACGGGGATCACAGAGAGAACTCTGCGAGGCCAGCACCAGTGGAACCCGAGCACTCTTGAACCCGCCGCCCCCAGGGAGAGGAGCCCCACCCCCCACCACACCCTCTCCGGGCTCAGACTCCCGCGGGCCCCATGAGGGAGCGCCGTGGCCTGCCTGCGGCCTGTCACCTCCGTGCTCGAGACGCTGGGGCCAGCGCCCCGTCTAGAGAAGGACACACATTCTGGGGGCAGGAGGCCGGCCCCTCATGCCTGCAGCCCTGACGCCCCGACAAGGTGCTCTGGGATGAGGAGGGGGCACTGGCCGCCGGGAAGCCCAAGACCATTAAAGAAGGAAATCTCACCTCCGTGAAACATGGCCCGGTGGCAGAGCTCTGTCCAGTTCTTCCCGGCTCCTAAGAGCGCGTCATACGCAATCATGGGGGCATCGTGGCCCCGCCGTCCCCCTCGACCCTCCGAGCTCCATCTCCTGTAGGTCTGAAGAAAGAGCCCCGGGTCAGAGGCACGTGCCAAACCAGAACCATGACAGTCTGCGCTAGAGCATGGCATCCCAGGTCATCCCACGGACGGCCGTTCATGCACTCGCTGTGCACTTATGGGGCGCCACCTGTGTGCAGGCGTTGCCCCAGGGCGGGGATGCAGGGTGAGCGGGAAGGACTCACTTCATGGCCCTCACACTCCCACCACTCAGACAGACGCCCGCAGATAAACAGCGTAACAGCGTGCCGGGGCCGCACAGTCGGACGGGAACTGGAGCTGCACGCAGGGACTGAGAGTGTGTGACGGGCTGTTAGGACAGCATGGCAGGGAGCCACCATGCGGTGACCTTCAGTCCGAGCCAGGCAAGAGACAACAGGGTCTCCCTTGGCCCCTGCCCACGTCTACGGCCCGGGCAGCCCCACTGGACGGGCCCTATAGGCGGTGACGCTGTCCAGGTGCGGGTGGCTCCTCAGCCTGGGGCCCCGACAGCTCCTGCCCGCTGCCGTCTCACACCCGCGAGACTCACCTTCTCCCTCTCCTCCGCGTCATAGTGGTCGGGAAACGTGGCTTTACTTTCCGTGTCTTCGCTGATTTTTCTCTCCTCCAAGTAAAACTGCCACTTAGCTTCAAAGTAAAACCAGTGCTCCTGGTACTCTGAAGGGAAAGAGCAGGGTGGGCAGGGTGTGATGGCCCTCCAGCTGGGGCGCGGGGCAGGGGTGGGCCCGGAGACCTCGTGGGCGCAGAAGGTGTGGGGGCCCGGGAGAGCCTGCACCTGGCCTTAGCATCGCTCCAGACGTGAGAAAATGCTCAAATTTGTCGCTACCTTGAAACAACAGCAAGGAAGATGGAGATGGGGAAAAAAGCAACTCAAAGAACTGCTTAACTATATTCTGAATCGAAGGTAGCAATTGCAATATTTTGAAGCACATTCTCTAGAAAATTCGGAACCTGTGTATTTTCATTAATTCAATACTGTGACTGCAAGGTAGGGAGAGAGGGCGTTTCCTCATTCCTAGTTGCCAGCCTGGCGTCCAAGCCCAGAGGTGCTGACCCTACTCAGAGGCCTTTGGTGAAGAGGACTTTGCCTCGGCAACGAGTTGGAGCAGCAGCTGCACTGGTCACGAGGCCATCAGGGCCTCGGTGTCCTCAGCGTGGCGCTATCGTGCGCACGTGATCCGTCCCCCTGGGCAGCCACCAAGGGGTGAGCGGAGTGGGCGGGTGGGGGGCCGGGAAGGCCCTGGGGGAGTGACTGGCTCACAATGAGCCACAGACGCCACCGTGCCTGTCTGTGGTTGGGGAGTCGGAGAACACAGCCGTGACCGCGGATGGGCCGCTGTCACTGCTGCAGAGGGAAGCCGTGCTCCTGCCACTGCCTTGTCGCCACAGGGGCGCCAGGAGGTGCCTGGGGCGGGTCCTGGGCCGCGGTTCCAGGTGGCCGAGGGAATCACAGGCCCTCGGAAATCCTGGCCCCCCTCTATTTTACAAAACTAAAGGTGAAACCGGCTTACGGTCTGTTTCAGTGAAATGAGGTTAAAAGTGAAGACAAAAGCAAGGGGGCGGGACGGGATTCACAGGTCCCGCTGTACCCATGCCAGGCCAATTCGCAGGGGCCCTCCTCTATCCTATCGTACCGATAACAACGCTGTATCAAGAGTTGTTTTGCAGGGTCAAGGAGCATAAACTGCAAGTCCTGTAGCTGGAGCGTGCTGAGAAGATGGAAACCCTGTCCTCAGAAGACCTCGAGCCGCCTAGGAACCACAAGTTCCCCAACTACAGAACTCAGTGTGAAGAGAGTGGAGTGGGGAGCCTGACGAGAACTGAGGGGTCCCTGCGTTTGCAGCACAGTGGACTCTACACTCCCACCCTCCAGTCAGATCCCACAAGTTAGCATTTCGCATGAGCACTCCCACTGCCCGCTCCTTAGAAGTCTGTGCCCACTTCAGCTGGGGAGACAGACCTGAGCCTTCCTCCTGTCGCCCTGCTGGTCAGCCATGCAACAGAGCTCTTTCTTCTCTCAGAAGCCGCTGCTGTAGTTTTGGCTTCTACACGCACCCAGCAGCGAGCTTTTGCTCAGTCACACCGTTAGCCCTGCAGAGACCTGTGACCCATCCCTGCCAGCGTGCCTATGGGGTGTGGGTGCAAACTCAGAACTCAGCCTCTTCCCCAGGTCAATGCCCAGTCAACTTTGGAAACAGATATCCAAACATGAAAACACGGAGGAATCTTCGAGTTGTCCTAACGCCGATGGATGTTTCACGGACCAAGCAGAAGGCCCCAGAAGAACGTTCCCTGGGGTGTTCTACAGAGCACGGTTCTCTCTGGACAATTTTAGGTGCTCTGTGTCATACAAGGTCATAAAACTCCAGTTAAACAAATTTAAAATTAAACACAATGATCTGGCCAGTGACCCTCCTCCCCGTTTCTGTTCACGGAACACCTGTGACTACTGTTCTTCCGACAACACTGGGGAAAACGCTGTGCGTGCTAGAGTTCCGGGGTCAGTCCATCGGTATGATGTGAACTGAGTAGCCATGTCGCTTCACACTCTGATACCATCTGCCCGTCTCTTTCAGGTGGGTTAAGGTGATCCTGCTGGCTTGGGGAGATGACCAGCCCTGTGACCACAGACCAGCCTCCCCAGGGCTGGAGAGAGGGGGTACTGCTCGGGCATTCACGTTCGCTGTGAGCATGGAGGTTTCTCACTTCCCCTCGGAACAGGGTCCCGTGGATAAGAGTTTTCCAGCACGCAGTCCAGGCAGGTGTAAATGCTCCACATTCAAATCCTCCACCTCTCTCTCCCCCAGTACAAACTGGATAACTTATTCTAGAAAGTCTCCTGACAACTGAAGACTATGAAAGGCCCCACGAAGCTGCCCGAATTCCTCATGCAGCTCACGTCCCTCTCAGGGTGAAAGAATCCTCCGGAAGAGCCAGCCACCTGAGAAGAGAGCCAGGGGTTTGCTGGTCCTGCACCCGCTGTGCCGGGTCTGGTGCCTCGGGGAACTCATGGGAAGGGGTGCAGGCTGAGAAGAGCACAGGAGGCTTCCAGACCGCCAGCAGCCCTGTGACCCCCTGGGACTTTGCTGGATGCGCTGAGGAATGCCTCACTCGTGGCCAGAAGGAGTGTGAGCCATTTGACGACAGGTTTGGGGTGAACTGAGACAGACGGAGGTTCCCAGGAGTGCATGTCATCAGTGGGCACAGATCTCTGTCTGGCTTCCGTGTGGGAGACTGGAAAGTCTCTGGGGCCAGGCACAGCTGTCCACTAGGTCAAGGAGCAGTGTGGACTTCAGTGTTGATGTCCCTCGTCCCTTGATGAAGAATGGGCTACTTAAGGACAATTTGGAAAATGAAATCTAAGTATGCACCCCACCCTTTCTGGCTGCAGTCAGAGCCAGGGGGTCGGTCTCTGCAGAGGCCTTGGGTGGGAGACACAGCAGCCGGCCCGCTGTGGACCATGCACGCCTGGGGCCTCCTGCGCAGGCGCTGCCCTCAGGCCAAGCAACACCCCACACCTTCTTTGTGTGGTCAGCCTGCTCACACGGACCCCAGGGGGATGCTCTTGGTTTCATCGTGGGGAGAGCATACCTTGACCTCTAGGGGGCCGAGTCTGTCCAAATCTGCTCTGAGTGTGAATTGAGACCACCCTCTCTTGAGACCACACACCCCAGTGTGACAGGAGGAGGCCAGGCTCACCTGCCAGGTGCCGGATAGTCTTCTTGCAATATTCTTCGGCGAGCGGGATGGTCCTCATCATGTCCCTCCCCCACTGTTCGAGCGGCTTCCCTTGTATGGCGTAAGATGCAAACAGGGCTGTGCACAGGGACCCGAGGAAGCCTGGAGGGTGGTGGGGAGAGAGGGACCATGACACTGGGCCACACCCACACTCTGGGACGCCAGAGCCGCCCTTGACCAGGTGTTGGACCCCGGGCAATCACTTTGCGCATTTTGACCTTCCATTTCCTCTCTGCACAAAGAGAGTATAACACCCACCTTGGGATGACCCCAAGCACGGGTGAGTGCCCGCCAGGCCTCCCATGGTGAACGGCCACGCAAAGACCACCCCTGCCCTAGAAAGGGTACCGGCAAAGACCACCCCTGCCCTAGAAAGGGCACTGCCATCTCCCTTGCCTTGGTGGCTTTCTGGCCACCCCACGAGGCATCAGGTACAGATGAGGTCAAGGGCAGGGATAAGCACCTTGTTCTCACACCTGGGCTTCAGTTACTGTCCTGACCACCTGCCCTGCCTCCTGTCACGGAGGGTGTCAGCTCGAGTCTAGGACAATGCACGCTGTTGTAAAAGTTGTGACACTTGCTGCTGGAGGTGGTTCAAAACTTGAAAAGGAGAGTGGAGTTAAAACGCACCTCCCTGTATTAATCATGTGCAATCAAACCCTTAAAACACTTCGTTCATCATCCTAGAAACATAGAGACTGTTTAACCATGAAGCATGTGAAACAACATTTCTTTAATTAGAGTGGGCAACATGTTAAACCCAGACTCCTGCCCTCATTGCATTGTTTCCAAATGCTCGATGGTCTCGTGTTTGAAGGTGTTGATGTTTCTTTTACTTCTAGTTGAACCAGGTAGTGAGCAGACGTCCGGCGTTAGCTCCTGTCCAACTATCCAAGATGTTGCCAACCAGTGAAACTGTATGCCTTTCTGCTTAAATTTTAAAGATAGAACGAACTTATTTGTGGAGTTCGTGGCTTAGCCTGTCACTGCCTGGGTGAACTTGTCATCCACTCACCGGGTTCTAGTCGCACGTAAGCGTGCTTTCCGGTAGGGCACAGGGGCCCCTCGCAACCTCTGTGAGCGACATCAGCTAAAATGGACACCAAAGGTGACCTTGAAACGGGAGCACAGTCACTGGAGAGCAGCTGGTGGCCTCCGGACTGCTGGTGGGGAGGGGCACGTCCCCCGCCTCGCTGTGATTTAAGGGCAGTTACAGGTATAAGAGTTTCAAGTCATCCTTCTTTTTTAAAATTAGGCACTGACTGCTTTTCTGAGTCACGTCTCACAGTCAGGCACTGGGCCGCCCGCCTGCCCTCCCTCTGTGTGATGGACGTGTGGTGGAAATCTCAGGACGCAGCCGGCCCCACTGCACACGCCATGCGGCGGGAGTGTGCTACGAGTCTTCCATTCTACTCCCTCTTTTCCTCCGACACAACAGGTGGGCATGGTTCCTGTTCCATAATTGTCCCTATGTTGCAGGTGAGGAAACGGAGGCACCGGTGGCTAAGTGACTCGGTCCAGCTCACACAGTCAGGGAGTGGTCTGTGGGCTCACAGCCCCGGCAAACGGTGCCCGACCCTGGGCTGTTGACAAAATCATATAAACGCTAATTCCCACGACTTCAACCCAGATCCTAGCCTCGTGCGGATAACTGGTGCGGCCCTCTTTCTTTCATTCTGACGTGAACGATATTGAAACCAGTGAGAATTCTTTCCCTGGCACAGTTTCTCCAACATCACCACGCTTATTGCTAATCCTGCTTTTAGGCTGAAAACAGATTTTAAGCAGAACTGAAGATTAAAAAACCCAAGTCTGCCAACAAATATCATATCAAACAATGGTTGTGATCTCGTGAGATTCCCGTCCGTCTGTTGGGCGGAGAGCTGCACGACAGGCACCGGTCGGCGGCCAGCGTTACCTGTGGGGTGGTTGTGGGTCATCCTGCCGCACTCGATGCCGACCTCGATCAGGGTCTCCAGCCGCTCTGGCTTCCAGTACCGCATGCCGATGCACATCGCCTTGGTGGCAGCTCCAAATCCTGAACCTACAGGGAATGTGAAATACCTGAATTTAGACTTTTGCTCCAATAATTCCACCTCTGCCAATCTAGCTTTCATGAATAATCTGAAAATGTACAAAAATTTATGTAATAACATGTTTATCATAGTGTCATTTAAATGAGTGAAAAATAGGCAAACCACTCAAATGACTGACAAAGAAAAGAGATTAAACAAATTGCCATGCATCCATAGTTGGAATGATATTTAGCCATTAAAAATAGACTTTGGGGGGCTGGCCCCGTGGTTTAGCAGTCAAGTGTGTGCGCTCCACTACTGGCGGCCCGGGTTCAGATCCCGGGTGCGCACTGACACACCGCTTGTCAGGCCATGCTGAGGCCGTGTCCCACGTACAGCAACTAGAAGGATGTACAACTATGACATACAACTATCTACTGGGGCTTTGGGGAGAAAAAGGGAAACAAAGGAGGAGGATTGGCAATAGATGTTAGCTCAGGGCCGGTCTTCCTCAGCAAAAAAAAAAAAGAGGAGGATTGGCATGGATGTTAGGTCAGGGCTGATCTTCCTCACACACACACACACAAAAATAGACTTTTTGAAGGCCTGGGGAAATGCTTATAATATGCTCCTACTTGGCAAAAATATAGGAGACAACTGACCACACAATATGCTTGCCACCATAGATACTTGCTCTTTCCAACAACAGCTTCACTGAGTGGTAAATGACACACCATCGACCATGAATATTTAAAGTCTGCAAGTTGATGAGTGTTGACACACGATACACCCGTGAACCAGCACCGAAATAAAGACAGTGAACACGCCCATCTTCCCGAAAGTGCTCTTTTGCCCCCTGCCCTGCCCACCAGACACTGATGTGGCACCACAGACGAGTCTGCACATCGCAGAGTTTTGTATAAATGGAATCACACAGAATGGACTCTTTGTCTGGCTTCTTTCACACTGCGTAACTATTTTGAGCTTCACCCATATCGTTGTGTGTCGATAGTCGATTCCCTTGTTTGTTGAATACGACTCATTTGTATGGATGTGCCGCAACCAACTGGTTTATCCACTTGCCTGTCGGTGGACATTTGGGTTGTTTCTGGTCGGGGCTAGTACAGGGAAAGGTACCGGGAACTTTCACAACCAACTCTGCGTGTGGACATGCGCTTCTTTTCTCCTGGGTAAATACCTCGGAGTGGGGATTGGGCTCACATGGTGGATGAATGTTTAACTTTTTTAAGACACTCCCAAACTGATTTCTGAAGTGGCTGTACCATTCTCCATCCCCTGGCAGCCCCTCACATCCGGGACAACACTTGCTACGGCCACTCTTCTTCGTTTCAGCCACACTGTTAGCCATGGAGTAGAATCTCTTTGCGGGTTTAATCTGCATTTTCCTAACGACTAACGATGTTGAGCACATTTTCATGTGCTTATTTGCCGTCCATGTATCTTCTTTGGTGAAGTGTTTAGATAGTTCTCCCATTTTTATATTGGGTTGCTGTTTTCTTATTACTAAGTTTTAAGAGTTCTTTATACATTCTGGATCCAAACCTTTTATCAGATATATGCTTTGCAAATATTTTCTCCCAATCTGTAGCTTGCCTTTTCATTCTTTTAACAGAGTCTCCTGGAGAGCAGAAGGATAACTTTGGGAGTATTCGTCCTCTTCGCTTTCCTGGAAGCGCTGTGTATGATTGGTATTATTTGCTCTGCGTGTTTGGCGGAATTCCCCAGTGAGACCACCTGGATCTGGAGTTGTCTTGAATAGATATTATGTGAGTTAGGCGATCTATTTCATCTCCTGAGTAACCTTTGGTAGTTTGTGTCTTTCAAGAAATTTGTCCATTTCATTTAAGTTGTTAAATTTATTGGCATAAAATTTTTAATAATATTCTCTTATTTTCCTTTCATTTCTGTAGAATTTGTAGTGATGTTGCCTCTATTATTGTTGATACTGCTCATCTGTGTCTTCCCTTTTTTCCTGATTAGTCTGGCTAGAGGATTTTCGTTTTTTTTAATCTTCTTAAAGAATCAGCTTTTGGTTTTGTTGAGTTACTCTATTTTCTGTTTTCTACCTCATTGATTTTCACTCTGATCTTCATTATTTCTTTCCTTCTGTTTTGTTTCAGTTTAATTTGCTCTTCTTTTTCTAGTTTCTTTTCTGTTTTTTGCTGAGGAAGATTCGCCCTGAGCTAACATCTGTGCCAATCTTCCTCTAATTTTGTACATGGGTCACCGCCACAGCACGGCTGATGAGTGGTGTAGGTCTGTGCCCTGGATCAGAACCCATGAACCCGGGCCACCAAAGCAGAGTGAGTGGAACTTAACCACTATGCCACGGGCTGGCCCCATTTTTCTAGTTTCTTAAGGTGAAAACTGAAGTCATTGGTTTCCAACCTTGAAAGGGAAATCTCTGTGTATATAACCCAAAATTGTGGATTTGTGTATTTCTCTGTGAAGCTCTGTCAGTTTTTGCTTCCTATATTTTGAAGGTTTGTTATCAGGTACATAAACATTAGGTTTGTAATGTCCCCCTGATGAAGAGTCATGATGAAATGACCTTCTTTTCCCTGGCAGGATTCTTTGCTCCAAAATCTACTTTGTGGGTTATTAACAGAGTCACTGCACCTTCGCTCTGATTGGTTACATGGCAGACCTCTTTCTACCTCACCCATCTGGGTCTGTACATTTAAAGCGCATTTCTTGTGAACTGCACACAGTTGGGGCTCACTTCTCCATCCCTTGCAAACCTCTGCCTTTTACTGGGTCTCTGGACCATTCACATTTGACACGAGTATTGACAGCGGTGGGGTTAAGTTTTTTGTCTTGTTATTTGCTTCTACTTGTCCCATCTGCTACTTGTACCCTGGTCTCTTTTCTGCCTTTTTTGGACTATTACTGAGCAGGAAGATGCAGCTACCAATCTCAGGGGAAGGTTCCCACCACGTGGAGGATGGAAAGACCCCCAGAGCCGCCACAGGAGGAGCCCCAGACCTCGGCCTACGGCACCTTCTCTGAGTCAGGGTCTCCAGGGAGGACTCGGCACACAGCACAGGTTGGAGAAAGGTTTTCTAATAAAAAGGAGAAAACACAGTTCAGTCTCCCAGGGCCAGTGGGTCCCTCCCAAGCCAAGGCACGCAGCCTCTCCTGCGGCAGGTGAAGACTCCGTCTTGCCCCACAGGGCAGAGGTGCTGCTGGGGCTGGTCAGGTGTGTAGGACGTTCACTCGGAAGCAGCACAAGGAAGTCCACTGCTTCCCAGAACAGGGGAGTCTTCTCCCAACAAGGAAGAAGAGCCAGGGCCACACCTGGTCTCCAGGTGGGCAATGTTCCAGCCCTGGACACTGATGTGGCAAGCCCAGGGAAGGGCACTCGTCACAGGAGGGCTGCTTACCCAGCCAATGTTGTTAAAATAACTCAGTTTTGTCTCTTTTGTTGGCTTGTAGTTATAACTGCCCTGTTATTTGAGTGGTTGCTTGGGGCTTACAGCATACATCTTTAACCTACCACAGTCTACCTCCCCGTCTGCGGGGCCACTCAGTCTACACCCGGGGGCAGGTCCACACTCAGTCTACACCCAGAGGGACAGGTCCACACTCAGTCTACACCCAGAGGGGCAGCTCTATCCTCAGTATAAAACCCTGAGAGGCAGGTTCACCCTCGGTTTACACACAGAGGGACATGCCAATCCTCAGTATAAAACCCAGAAAGGCAGGTCCACCCTTGGTCTATACCCAGAGGGGCAGCTCCACCCTCGGTCTTCACTCAGATGGGCAGGGCCAGGACCCCAGGAGCAGAGGCCCTGTGGCTCCTAAACCCATCACCCCATAAACTCGTGAAATACTTTGGAGACAGACATTTATGCAGGTGGTGTATCTTTTCCTTGATGTTTTGGCAAAAAATACAAACTAAAGGGAAAGCAGTGGAAAATTTCCCCTAAAATAAGCCAGGGATCAGTGACAAAGTGCCGGGGAAGCTGGCATCCTCTGAACAGACACCCAGGTGGGCGGACTGGCTCTCTGGCGGCACACTGCCCTACAGAGGACTCTGGCACACCCATCTCGGCTCAGGCAAACCTGCCCCGTGCTGGTTAGTGGGAGGGACAGATGTTAGTGGACAGACAGATGGTTAGTGGGACGGACAGTACTGTGGACGGACGGATGGTTAGTGTCCCGAAGCGGGTCTCCAGCCACAAAGCTGGGAGGGAGAAGAAAGCATCCCCTGACCCTTCTCGTTGAAAGGCGTGTGCCAGGCGAGGAGATAGTTATCCGGCTTCAGCTGCGAGCAGCCTTCCACGGTAGCTGGGTCGGCCCGGTGTTCTGGGAGCTTCTCGAGGACTTCCACGTAGCGCTTCACCATCTCCCGGTACAGGTCGTCCAGGCACCAGTAGTCTGGGGAGGAGAGGGGGAGGGCAGGTCAGAGAGCAGAGGGACCACTGCCCCGTACGCCCCGACACAGCGGCGATAACAGACGTGATGGCAGGCATCACGCCCCCACTCGGCGAAGAGGAGGAGGGTTTGGTGATTATTTCACACAACCCTAGCCACTTGGAGAAATTTAACATGCAGACAAAGGATTCCCTTTAAATTTCATTTAGATTTCAGACATTATAGCCATTGTCCTTTATTATTCTAGTTACACATAGAATCTAGAAAAGCCCATGGTCCTCACGTAGTGCTAACGGCTCCATCCACGTGAGGACAGACTGGACCGAAACGTGCCTGTTTCTGGGCATTTCAGGCCCTGCATCTATGGCACAAGAGGCTGACTCTCTCCCGTCTCCCACCCACTTCTTGTCTCACCGAGAAGCAGCCGAGTGGGAACCCAGTGTGCCGCCTTGTCCCTAACTGCATCTGCACTGCGTGGGGACGTCCGGAACAAGTGTGGTCTCAAGTCCCTGGAAGATCACAGGACACGGGGGACAGGGGCCAACGCACCCTGACGCCTGCTGTCCGCCCCACACCGCACCTTGGGCCATCTGCATCGGGTGACCTCTTTATCCTCCCACAACAGTGTGAGCCTCTTACTCGTCATAGTGTTTTTTTTCCACATGTGGTTCAGTGAGGTTGACTTGCCCATGGCCAGAGCTGGTAAATGGAATTTGACGCACAGCCTGAGCGTTTCTGCCATTAAATCAATCCACAGCGTGGTGGATGGAGGCCACACACCTCCAACGCTGGGGTCCACGGTGCCTGGTCACATGGGAGAGCAGGGCTGGGACAGCGGAGGGCCCCAGGGCCAGGTGCGGCAGGCAGGTACAGGGTGCACCTCCACCACAGCTCATTCTGCACTAAAGCAGCATTTCCAGCCTTTGGGGTACTGCCCCTCCTACCCTCGGGGTGGATTCCCTGTCCTTTGGGTTCGTGGGGGGCAGGGAGAGGGCTCAGAGCAGGCAGTGGAGTGCTGGTAGCATGAACCCCTGACCTGCTCGCGCCAGACCAGAGCCTTCCCGAGGCCACCTCAGAGCCGGGGTCCCACCCAGAGGGCGAGGAGCTTGGGACTGCACGAGGCAAATCTCTCTTGCTCCAGGACGACAGCTTCAGTCCTGGCAGCCGTTATGGCAGGTAGCACCCTCATGCCCTAGAGTTGTGACTCTTTGGAGACAGGACGTGGTAAAAAAAGTCCTTCTGTCCCATGTCACTGAGGCTCGGCCGTTGCGCCTATACTGGACGCAGCCTGCATTGCCCCAGGTCTGAGTCTGGGACAGAGAGGATGTGGCAAGATCTCGGATCGGGAGGAAGGAGTTCTGCCAGCCACAGGGAGGGGTGTTCCACCGGCAGCCCGGCAGAAGGGGACTGGCCTCTGCTGGGGGTGTGAGTCGTTGGGACCTGTCTAGGCTCTCGGTTGCCAGCACTATCAGCTACAATCCGGGGTTAACAGCCTGGCCCTTCCAGAGTCCCATAAAATAATTCATTTTATTCTGGAGTCACGTCTTTTTTAGAAGGAGAGAAACTCCTTAAAAACAAAATGGCAACAAAAAGCCTTGTGTTGGTATCAGGTTAGAATTTAAACCAGACACAGACTTTCCAAAGCTGCAGAGCCTCGGGCCCCTTGCCTGACCTTTTCTGCTCTGACTTGGCCTCTCAACTCACTTCTTCTCTGTCTCCCCTAGCCGGTCCCCAAGAGACAGATCAGCTTATGAAACCGCCTGTGAGTCTCCCGACTGAGGTCACGACAGAGAAAAGGCCAATATCGAGTTACTCTGTAATATAAATGTCAACTTTTCAGAAGGCGTTATCAGGGCCATTGGTGGAGGAAGGGAGATGAGAGCCGAGTCTGGAGCGGCCTCGTCTGCTCACAGCGGGTCAGGCCCCGCCGTCCCTGCAGGATAAGGACACGCAGGCGGCACTTGCTGCGCATCCACAGCGGGCTAAGGACCCCCATTGCTCCCCTGCTGCACCTCGACACGGCCATTGTGCTCGGCCACGACGGCTGGGGCTGCTGACACTCAGATGCCTGAGACATCTTAGACAGACACTCGCCCTGTCACCAGGCGCCACCCTCCCGCACCTAAGGGCTCACTCCTGGCTTACTTCTGCTGCCCTGCTGAGTCCTCGAGGGACCCTAGGATGACAGTGTTACCATCCCAGAGTACAGCTCAGAGCGGGTGAGCAGCCAGTGAGTGGTGGAGAGCTAGGAGTGCGAGGCTGCAGACCCCTGAGGGTGAGCCCCCTCTACCCTCGAGAGCCGGGCACAGGGCCACGCACAGGGGGAGCCTCCAGGAAACATGTGTCAAGGATACACACGCAGCTCGTGAGCTGCGTGTCCTGGACACCACTTGCCGGGTCCACGTCTGCTCTCGTCCCACACCACCCGCCTCAGGGACACACCCGAAAGCAGGACTGCACAGTAACACACGCACCCTGCGGCAGACCACACAGCCACACGGCCCATCAGCCTACGGCACTTATTAGGAAAACTTACTTAAATAGGCCATGATGCAGCTCCACTTTGTGCAAGTCTGCCTGTCTTTGGAAACACATCCAAGAGCCACGGCCCATTGGGATCCTTGAAATATTTGCATGGCCAGTGACCTCAGGTGGTGGGGACAGTGCTTAGGAACACAGGCGTTGGAGCCAGGTTATTTGGGGTCCAATCCCTGCTTGGACACTCACTTCGCTGTGTGGCTTTGGGCAAGCTACTTAGCCTCTCTGTGAGTCGGTTCCTTTATCTGTACAAATGTAACAACAAAGTCAACCTCAGGGTGGTGTGTGGATCAGATGATGATAGATGGGGAGTTAGAACAGCGCCTGGCACACCTTTCGTGCCGCATCAGAGTCAGCCGTCACCATTACTGACGTGGCTCAGAGGCCCTTCCAGAGGCTACGATTTGCTCTCTAAAGAAAGAAAAGGCTGTTTGAAAACTAAACTGAAATTTCAACTTATGCAGTTGAAAGAAGCGTGCTTGAGTGTCCAGAGCAGAGTGCTTTGAGGGGTGGCTTCACGAGTCCCCTCGTGACCCTCGGCCAGAGGCCGCCACCCACAGCAGTCACCCCCTCCCACCGTGGGGGGCTGTGATCCTGTCAAGGGAAGTCGTCCTCCTTCTTAGAAACACACCCAAACGCTCCCACTCCTCTTCATGCGGAAATCCCACGTTGGGGGTCGACTACATCCTATTTCTGCCAAGAGGACCTGAGGGACCTAGTCTCGGAGAGCGTGGTACCCACAGCGTGCTCGGCCGTGCCGGGGACTCTCCCGGGGTCCCCACTCAGGACAGAGGCACGCCTGGACTCTGCCATCCCGGGACACTTGCCGCAGGGCTCCAGGGGCAAGGGCAGCACTGAGAGGACGCGTGGGCTGTGTGGGCTGCGTGGGTGTGTACCTGTGTCTCCGACACAAGTCTACAGTAAGGACCAGCGACGCAGCCAAACACAAAGCTCTCCGCGGGCCCTGGGGCGGCGTGACCGCTCTGGGCGGCAAGAATGCTCAGTTCTGCCGGCGCAAAGGCATGTGAGACTCTGCCCGGAAACATCAGAACAGGACACGTTTGGATTTCACGGCTGTGCAGACTCAGAAACACGCCTCGCCACCCTCTGCCCACTGGACTCTCTATCTTATCTGTGGCGCGTTAGCGGTCTCCCGAGTTATTTAGGAACCTGCCACCAAGTGGACGCATTCCCGCACGATGACCACAGAGCTAAAATGGGCGCTCACGCAGACACAGGAATGGCAAAGGGGGTGCGTACCTGCTGTTCCAGTGACCCGTCAGCTGCCCTCGGATTTTCATTTTGCGATGACACACTAATACACTTACAGGTTTCTAAAGAGCAAATAACTCACAGGAAAGCTGTGCTACACATTACACTCCTCCTGTTTCTCTGAAATTCATGTAAAAACTTGATCTAAAATCAACCTGCTACTTAATATTTCAAGAAACTGTTTTTCTCCCAAATCTAACCAATTATTTTACATTTTCTCAGGACATCTTTATGTCTAAGCAACTATCCAAGCTAGATCATATTTTGATAGATGGCACTTTAACCCGAATTCATTGGAATTTAGAAGTACTCTCCAGACAACATTATCTTAATGGGTCCAAATTTCCGTCTGGCTTATTATCTTATGTTCTTTTGAAGTAAATTCAGAAGACGACTTTGTGTCTGTAGAGGACAGTGGAGTCCTCACCCGAAACAGCTCCCAAGCAAGAGATTTATTGGTTTTAACTCTAGAGACAGAGGGCTCAGCTGAGTGAACATTTTACCAACACGAGTGAAAAGCTCGCGTTTCAGAGCCTGAGTGTGCGGAAGAGCACAGGAAAGCAACGCTGTCGCCGGGGGGAGGACGCCAGGCGAGCCGGCCCAGGCCCCGCGTGCGAGGGCCGCGCTGGGGATCACATCGCCACTTTCAGCGGCTGAAAAGCTCTGGTGAGAGCCCGCTCCCCGGCCCTGCGGGCGCGGGCCAGCCTTACCTGTGGTCAGGGCCCCGGCCGTCGCCACGTGCATGACGCTGTTGTCGCTCACCGGCCACTTCTCGGGTGAGAGCACGAGGTGGTCCAGCCCCCCGATTTTTTGCAGCTCCCCCTGGATCTTCGAGCCTGAAGCACTGCTCTCCCCACAGGCGTTTCTGCAGCCGAGAGCATCCCCCACACTCGCCAGCAGCATCGCAGCCTGAAACCTCTCCATCTCGGGAGGGCTCCCCCGCTCGCACCGCTGCCGAGCGCCCAGCCTCTGTCGCTCTCGGGGCGGCGGAGGCGGCCTTCAGTCTGCCCTGCTGGCCTCTATTTTGGTCATTGTGTTGCTGTCGGGAGCTTCCTGGAATGGCCAGGCACTCCTGCTCTGACTCTGCAGGTGGCACCAATGAGAAGACCTTTCTGGACCCCGCAGCTCACAGCGCCTTCTGGAGAGCCGCGTGGAAGGCGCCAGCTCGCCCCAGCGTCTGGACAGACGCCCGCTCCTCCTCAGAGGAGCTGCGGGCCGAGAGCATCCAGAACAGCTCCAGAAGCTTGCACAAAGCGACGACTGCTAAGTAGCGCACCTTCGCGCAGTATTCTCGAGAAATGCACACATTTCTAAAGCTTTAAGGTGTTTACACACTGTGAAACCACCCACGTTTAGTGCAGGTCTGAGGAGCTTGTGCAGATGTGTGCTGCCGTGAGACCTCCTCCACAGCCATTTCAGAACAGCTCCCTCACCCGGCTCCTTGCCGTCTGCTCCCTGTTGCCCCCACCAGGCTCATCTGCTGTCTCTGGTTTTACCTTTTCCACAATTTCAAATAAATGGAATCATCCACCGTCCGGCCTTTGTGCCTGGCTTCTCTCACTTAGCATAATGTTGAGATTCATCCATTATACGCATGGTTTTATTTTTTGGAAAACTTGCTTTTTGATCATAAAGTGTGTTTGATAGAAAACAGAAAATGCCAAGTGTAAAGGGAAAAAGTACCTCCCGCCCCAGTGTGAAAGGCTGTGAAGGTTCTCTCCATTCAGCATTCAGCAAAAGGCTCCCCATACAGCGAGACTGTAGAGCGCCGAGGGGGAGCAGACAGCACGGCGGTGAGGGCTCACAGCGGCACCGGGAGGGCGTCCTCATCAAGCTTGTATATTTAAACCCTCGCCAACTCACAGAAAGAGCCTTCAAAGATGTGACAAGGCTGGGGGGAGGCCGAATGTGTAAACCAAGCACCTTGATTTGAAATAAGGAGTCAGGAATGCAGGCCACCTCGCTGTCCCCCAGGCCCTGGAGAGTGACAGGGCCCCCCCGGGGACCTGGTCGCCCATCAGACCAGAAGTGAGAAGTCGTCACACCTGGGCTTTTTAACACATTTTGTGAAAATAAAATCTCTTTCAGTAACAACAAGATGCCAGGATGCATGTAAATGAACATATAGTATTACAACAGCACTTGTTAAAGATGAGGTTCTGGAATGTGACTCCAGCCAGCACGATTCTGAGAGACTCTGCGACACAGTCCTTCAAACCAGCCCAGATGTCCCTGGGTTGCTAGGTGTGCAGACTTCTGCCCAAGAAGACCAGACAGACAAGAGCAGCCATTTATTTAGACAGCCACCCATCGGAGGCAGAACAGCATGGTTTGGCAGAAACATTGATTGTTGAGGGCGGTTTCCTTTGCTGATTCTGAGGCAATGGAAACCTTTGTTGAAGACGCTAGAAACATCTGCGTACTACTTGGGCTATGTCAGCAAATAGTAAGAGGCGAGATGAGTTCCCTAACTTGTTCATTCAACACGACCTGAGCCCAACTGTGGATATAGCAACAAACAGAAAAGTCTACCCCTTGCCCCACAGAGCCTGAAGTCTGAGATGTATGTTACACTTAAACTTTTACTAAGTTAGATAAATCTGTTATGTATTAAGTTACGAAGGCAGAAAGACAGGACGATCTACACCAGAAATTCTTGGAAGACATATGTAACATGTATTTATTAAACCTATTATGTTTGGTTAATTTGTGTATTTTCAATATATTTAGAGCTTGCATTTCAGTGTATTCTGGTATATAATTCCCATCAATTCAAGGAAATTCTGTATGAATCTGTTATTTTTCTCACGAAACAACCATATTTAGCACACTATGTGATATTCAAAAAGAAAACTAAATGACTGAAGCTGACCATCTGGGGAGATGAGCAGGCTGGGCACGGGTGGAATGTCCCCACAGGGCCTAGTTCACTTGCCATCGAGGCGGCTTTCCTGAGTATCTGAGCAACCAAGAACAGAATTAGAAGGATGCCACCACAACACTAGAGAAAATAATTTATTTTAATGTTTCTGAAGTTCTTGGCACTTTCATAGCATGCACGACTTAAATGTATGTAACAGAAGAAAAAGAAACAATTTTTTGAAAAGCCTTTGTCCAATTACTGTTTTTTTAAGATTTTATTTTTTTACCCCCAAAGCCCCAGTAGATAGTTGTACGTCATAACTGCACATCCTTCTAGCTGCTGTATGTGGGACGCGGCCTCAGCATGCCCAGAGAAGCAGTGTGTCGGTGCGCGCCCGGGATCCGAACCCGGGCCACCAGCAGCGGAGCACGCACACTTAACTACTAAGCCACGGGGCCGGCCCAAATTACTGATGTTTTGATACCTAGTGATAAACAACTCCACAGAACACTTTCTCCCCATAAATCGTAAATCTTAATAGAAGCATCGCAAACCTCCATAATCTATACAGGATTATCCGAGTTCTAGAACCTCCTCTGAACAGAACACTTACATGTCAAGAATCCATGAGGCCTCGAAGGATGCTTTAAAATTACTGAGGTTTTTATTAAATCCAGTTTTTATTATATAAAATAAATGCTCTCCTAGAGTCACAGACTTGCAGGTGGAGATGGCCTTTTTCCCTTCTTTAGATGTGGACACAGGGGCCGGGGGAGGTGACCTGACTCACTGGTCCTGCACCGGCCTAGCCTATGGTCTGCAGGCCTCAAGCCCCTGCCCAACCCTTGAGGCCCACTGCCTTCTGAGAGATTTCTTCTTGGAAGTGTAAAGTCCACAGACAGCAAGTACACACACCCCTCCTCTGGGACACGGGCGCCTCCCACAGCACTGACGACTCACGTTGTTGGAAGGCGAATCGAACAACACGTTTTAGGCACACCGTCTGTTCTGAAGTGAATGTGCTCTCTCCCGTGAAACAACCCAACGCACCTGCCTTGTAAGCTGGGCTGCAGGCAGGGCGGCAGGCATGCTGGTGACGTGAAGATCTTTTAAATATGAGGTAGGGTCCACACAGTGATTTTCAAAACCATGCAGAGCTTTTCCAAACAAAGAGCAGGCAGCACGGCAGGCTTCCCTGCCCCAGACAACATGGCGTCTGCCGCAAGGGGTGGCCTCTCCGACAAGGCCAACACCAGAGAGATCAGGTGTTTATGTGACGGAGACAGGCGTCAGCTTGCAAACGAGGTGAACGTTCCGGGTGGGTTTTTTTTGGACAGTGATGTATATTTTAGCTTCCAAATGTGTATGTGGCCGTACACAAGGGCTGGGGGGGACATGAAGGGTATTACAGACAGTTGAGAGGAACACACTCACTTGATTTTCAAATCTATAATTCATCACTCATAAAAGAAATAGTTTTCATGGAAAAATGTCTCTTTAAATGTAATAAAATACATTTTTTAAAAAAACATCCTTTATGAAACTTCTTAGGAAGTTTAAATGACATTATTAGGAAAATAGACCTGCTGACTTATAAACAGCTTAAAAGAAAACCTTCCTGGAGTCACACTGTATGTGTGCCATCGCTGTGCAAACTGAAGATAAAATGATCTTCAGATGAACGTCTACAGGAAATTAAAACAAAAATAGATCTGGTAAATCTAGATATTTGACAATTCAAAAAACACAAATCTCAGGGCAGCCTGGTGGTGTAGCGGTTAAATTTGCACACTCCACTTTGGCGGCCCGGGTTTTGCAGGTTTGGATCCCGGGCGTGGACCTACACACCAGTCATCAAGCCATGCTGTGGTGGCGTCTCACATACAAAATAGAGGAAGATGGGCATGGACATTAGCCCAGGGCCAATCTTCCTCAGCAAAAAGAGGAGGATTGGCAACAGACGTTAGCTCAGAGCCAATCTTCCTCACACACACAATTATATATATATAAATCTTGAATTCCTGGCACCAAGGTTAAAAAACATTAGAATCCATGATAAGATCATCTTCTTCAGGGCACATTTTAACAGCTGTGACTTTATAAAAATACAACATCCTACTGAGGACAAAAATACTGTTTTCTAAGTGTAATTACAATATAACTCAGTGCAGTGTGGGGACTACTGGTGTTCACTCTAAATCATGAATTTACAGCATGCTCTGCTGTCCTGCAAACAGGCTCTAGGGTACCTTTTCATAAACATAAAATCACGCAGAAATCTCCTGAAGCAACAGCTATGTGACCCGTCTCCAGACACTCCAGAGCAGCCACCTTCTGAGGAACTCCTGACAGTGGCCAAGACCAGCTCCACCTCCCTTGAGCAGTGAGGGGTCATCCCATCTCAGGACCCATCAAGGACGACTTCTGAAACCAGCAACCACGTGCACGGAACTGAGCCACATGCCTCCCTGCAGGACGCAGTGCATTTTATCGTCTCAATCCACCTGAATCTTCCGCCTAGAAAGGGCTGTGTTTACCGCTGGTGACTACTGGCCGTGCGTACTCTACGAAATCATCTATAAGAACAGGCCACGCTCCTAAAGGAAAGCAAACAAACAGATTAAAAAAAAAAATCAACATTTTAGAGCACTATTTTTATATTCAAAGCATTGTTTTCACAATCCAACACTTATATTTCAAGAACTCAAATGAGCCTGTGTTTCACTTAATTCATTTCTTCTGCTCTAGCCAGACCAAGGCCGGCAAATACTGCTGTGCTCGTGTGGACATGGCCCTCTCTAATGACTATGGCCACAGGGCTGGCTGGCCTGCGTGTCCTCGCTGTGGCTTCACGGCCCTTGGCCTCACAGCCCTCCGCCCCTGCCCCAGGCAGTCAGGAACGACAGAGGGCCCCTCGCCCTCCCAGGCTGAACCATGCAGCCTCTCTCCTCAAAGCGCGGAGTTCTGGCCACTAGAGGTGCTGTTTTCTCCCTGAGTGGAGCCCCCTCCCCGAGACCAGTCCCCCCGCCCCCCGGAATCCAAGGAACCCCAAAACGCCCAGGATACTCAGACACTACCCATCGGCCAGCGGGACACTCGCTACTTTACGCTGCTGGCTCCTTTTTATGTGGCCGTGCCTCGTCTCACTTACGGCGGCTGAAGCTCCTGAAAGCTGGGCTTCCGACCTACTCGCTGGTTACCGAGTGCCTGCTCTGCTCCAGGGGGTGTGAAAGTGCTGAGGACACAACACACCATGGCGGTGAGTGCAGCCCTGAGGAGCCCTCACTTTCTAGAACAGAGTGAGGAGGAGGGGGAGGAGGTCCCAGAGGGGTCACCTCCTAGCTGGGTGCTATAGGAGCAGACGGGTGAGGCACAGAGTGGGAGCATTCCTTCCCAATGCAGCAGAGCGCCCACTGCGAGGCAGGCATTCAAACGTTCCTGACTGCATATCCCAAAATACCTGGGGTGGGGATGACTGAACATGGGATTATGTTCAGCTTATGAGCTGGAGTCTCCTAACAAGCTTAAACGGCATGATGGCGTAACAGACCTGAGTCATCACCCGGGATCGTGACCTTGGAGCTCTGGCTTCCAAACACCTGTCTGGTCTACGGCTCTGCTCAGGCCCTCTGTACGCCCATGTGTGAGAGCTGTACTGGAGAGGATGTCTTCCTGACTTCAACTAAACATGAAGCCCTGTTTCTCTTCAGTGTGACCCACAAGACAGAAAAAAGTGGATATTGTCATCATGACCCCCACCTCACTGACGGGGCAGGGTCAGGAGTCAACTGGGGCCTGTGACCCTACTGCCTGGTCCCTCCACCCTGCCCCCCACCCCAGGCCCTGTGACCCCACTGCCCAGTCCTCCTCACCGCCCCACACCCCAGGGCCTGTGACCCCACTCCCTGATCCTCCTCGCTGTCCCACACCCCAGGGCCTGTGACCCCACTCCTTGATCCTCCTCGCTGTCCCACACCCCAGGGCCTGTGACCCCACTCCCTGGTCCTCCTTGCCGTCCTGTGCTCCAGGGGCAGGAACAATCAGCACACACAGCAGCACCTCTGGCGCTCATCTGAAGCACAACTTCTCATACCTTCTTCGTCATAGTTAGACATGTCATCTGCAATCATGTTTCCAAAATCTAGCAGAAGGTTCCAAGTGTCCCTTGGGATTGACCTTTTGTGATGTTCCTAACACAGAAGAGAAAAACCCATGAGATTTAAGACACAGATGTAACTCGCAGGCGTTCTGGGGGCCTAGTCACCTCAGTACGTACTTTGATGAGGAATAAGCACCATAACAAAACTGTGAACAGTTACAGGGAATAACAGTGGTCTGCATAAACGTGGAGAGCTACATAAAGCCAATGTGCAAATATAGAAAGTAGACTTATTTAAAAACAAAATGAAAGAAACATCTAAAATACAAAGATGATAAACTCCCGTTTCAGTCAAACAGAAGGGCAGCGCTGTTAATCTCCACCTGACCCCCCAACAACACAGAAACAAGGCAGGACAACAGGCAAGTTGTATTTCGAGACATTTATTTTTCTACATACCAGGTAGATCTTGACGTGAGATGGCACAATTTTCTAAAAATATCTGTTATTCAATATTTAGATATACCAAAAACACGGAGAACAGCGGAAGAGCTGAAGAGGCAAACCCGTAACCCCCAGCCCTTCTCTCCGCCCCCTGCCGGCACCCCTCCCTCCCCTGCCTGTCTCTGCACACAGAGCACGTGCACACGGATGCGCTGACGACGCGGAAGCCTGTCTTACACTTTAAAACGTTCACGTAACTGCCAGCACATCACATGTGGTCCTCTGCAGCTGTGTCTTCTCCACTCGGCACTGTGAAACGGACCTGCCTGACACATGTAAGGCAAGACTGTACCTCGCTGCTCCGCGGCTGCTGCACTTGCACTCTCCTGAGGGGCACGGGGGTGTCCCCAAGGTGCTGCTGCCACAGCGACGCAGGAGCGCCCCTGCCCCTCTCTGAGCAGGTGTGTGGAGGTTCTCTTGGGAATGTCTGCCACAAAACGAGTGAGTGGCGGGACAGAGCACACGTGACCTGTGAGGCTGAGTCCAGGCATTCCCATGCTGCCTCCAGGAGGGTCTCGAGACAACCACTCTCTGAAGGGTCCGTGCCGAGGGGACTGCCCTTCTCTCCACGGACGGAACGCCCAGCGGAGCTCTGGGCACAGCCACTATCTTGAGATTGTCTATTTTGGAGTCGGGGTGTATCCTTGTACTGCGTGCACTTCACACAGCCCACAGCTATACCCGCTTCCGAACCTGCTTCACGCCAGGAGGAGCTGTCTGCCCAAGCAGGCCCGGCACAACTGGAGCGCCTGCCTCCAGCACAGAGGGGCTCGCGCCCAAGGGGCCGGCTAAGCCCTCTTCTCCTTCTGAGCATCATAAACCAGGTGGTACGGCTGTGAGCACACACAGTGGCGGCATTCCACTCACTATGGGACACAGTCCATGGCAGTGTCGGAAGTGTGGTACTAGCACCTTCTCAGAGGAAGCACAGAAGTCATTTGGGTTCCTCAGAAAAGGTGAAATGGACGGCTGCCGAGATCTGCAGCAGATCATCTGAAACCCCAGCCTGGAAGGAGTTTTGTGTGCCTGCTGTGAGCCACTGTCGAGGGCAACCTCGGAGCAGCCTTGCCTGAAGCTTGGCAGCTGCGCATCGGCAGGGGCAGAGCCGAGCGGCCACCTGGGGGCTCCCCGGTGATCTCCGTGTGGGACTTTGGTTTTCCACCACACCCACGTACAACACTTGGTTAGATGACATGTACAGCCACGTAACCTGACGACCCCCGCTCCCACCTTCACACTGGGCACACACAGCAAGAAGAGGGGCACTTACCAATAAAAAGGTGTTCCAGAGATCTAAAAATTTAAACCTTCCAGATAATACTAAATTCCAATATGCAACAGCCATTTCTAAATCTGGGAAAAAGAGAGAAAGAGCAGTTAATAAATCTCAATTTCTTTTTCCACTGCACAAAAAATGACCACTTATCTTAGCACATTGATATTCACTCACTTAATAAAATTCAGCAGTCTTACCCAAGAGTAATACGAGGGCTGATCTTTACAGAAGTGTTCCTGAAATTGTATTTAATCTAATTTTATAACTCTTGGAAAATGTCTTAAAAAAATTGCATATTACTTTATTTGAACATGTAAATAATTATCACCGACTTAGTTTCGACGACTCTCATTTTCATATATATTGGGCTTTTTTTAAACCTGAACTGAGGGGCCTGCCCTGTGGCATAGCGGTTAAGTTTTTGCACGCTCCGCTTCAGCAGCCCCAGGTTTGTGGGTTCAGATCTCAGGCACAGACTTATACCACTTGTCAGCCATGCTGAGCCGGCGACCCACATATAAAGTGGAGAAGGACTGGCACAGAAGTTAGCTCAGGGCTAATCTTCCTTAGCAAAAAAATAAGATAAAAAATAAACAAATAAACCTGAACCAACTTAGATACTATTAATGTATGTCATTTATTTTTTAAAAATAGGCCAATGTGCTAAGTGATGAACTACAAGCTAAACAACTTGTTTAGAAAGGAAGGGATACAGCGCTTTCCAAACAGACCTGTCCTGCCACTCAAACAGAATCTGATTCGGAAGTAAGTCACAGAAGCACTACAAGGACTTGAATTTCTCAAGACATAGTCAAGACAAACAAGCACATTTAGAGAAAAGTACTTTCCCCGATGCAATGATCTTTAAAAATCGAGACTGATGATTAATCCAGGTCCGTGTTCTCCCTGACTGGAAGGCAATGACCCTTTCGCAGCTTCTACACAGACCCACACTGCAGTGCTCAGTCTTAACTGGCATCTTAACGGAACATGAACGTCAAGTTTAGGCTGTGTTAGGATATTATCCCAACCCAGAGACTTCTCTGCTCACCAAAGTTTAACACCTATTACTTTTTATATGCTTGATACAGCAAGTACCTAAAGAGGCAGAGAAGTTTACTTCTTAAAATTGACAACCTTTGATCATGTTGAATAGCACTCCCCACTTTTAGACAAGTAAAAGAACAGTTATCATAATTTCCTAATTACACGTTTATGTACATATGCCAGATAAACTAACGCGAAAAGCAGATGAATAAATACTTAAGATAACAGATTCTTTTAAATGCAAATACCCAACTAAATACTTTTCAGAAGATTTTCATCTTAATCTTATTTGGTCCCACCTGGACAGAAGTTATGAACGTTAGAGCTCTCACCTGAGATTTCCGGGGTGGATCATGTTAAAATTGGATAAGCAAAGGAGATGCATGTGTAGCAACCAACTCGAGATAAAACGCCTACGTTCCCTAGGTGTTTAAGGTCATTACAGACTTTCTCATCTGAAATACCCTGCAGTCTTAATCGGAAAGAAACACATAGTCAGGAAGTTTGAAGGGACTCAGAGTACAGATGGGCTCATGGAACCTCACCCACGGGGCCCACGGTATACTGCTAAGAGGATTAGTCTTGTCCTGTTAAGTCTACATCCTGATCACTTAGGAAGAACGTTAACTGAAATCTATACTTAACTCATCTTAATGATGGAAAGTCTCACACTGAGAAATGGAGGTAAACCTGGCGAGGAAAGAAAAATAAAGTTCTAGAGGAGACTTAATCTAGTGACTTCTGGGTTAGTTTGCTCCTAGAAACCTTTCATATAAAGTTGTGTTTGTAAACCACACAACTAAAAGTGAATGTATGCACTTTCAACACTTAGTATTACCTATATAAAAATGTTTAATATTGTCCTAATGGACTTGACCATTTGCAGAATAACAACAATAAAACTCAAAATGACACAGCTTGAGAACTGAAATCAAGAACAGCAGCTACTCTGGTGGCTACAAAAAGCGCCTTTACAGCAGCTTTTTTCTTTCCAATACCCTCTGAAAAGTCTTATCTCCTGAGTAAGAAAATGTTTACAAGAAGGTATCACTATTTAAAATTTATGTTTGTGATGCTCCGTTTAGAATTAGATAATGAAGACGTCCCTTCTGTCAAAAAAGGATCTTCGGGCACTTACGAAAATTAGCTAATTATTATGAAACTTATTTCCTCAAAAATCAAGATTTCTCAAAGCCAACTGATTCCTGACTCCCGCCAGTATGAAACTACACTAAGCATCTTACAATAAAAGAGAGTCAAATAGCTTTAATTATCTCTTTATTAGGCTGACCATCAGTTAAGTGCAGGCTATAGAATAATCCTACATAAAACAACACAGTACACATACACACACACACAGATACACAAACCTGCAGGAAATGCAGGATAAATCTCTCTGATTACGCTTTTCCACTGCTGTCTATGCTTTTTCTAGAACTACAGGAACACCTGTATCAACCTCTTTAATTTATACTTAGTCCTTCAGAAGACAGACCATGTAATATACTTTGGAAATCGTAAAATCAATTGTTTTGTTTGGGTTTGTAGTCATAAAGTTATTTGTCTTGTTTTATTTCTTTTTTTTAAAAAGCCCTTAAAAAACCGTCTAAAATAGAGTGTAATATATTTGAAATGTTCAAATAATCTAATCGTTTTTCTGAAGAGGCTATTATTTTTTTAATACAATTTCATAGTCTCTCAATTACTCTCACGAAGCAAAGAAACAAACAAAACCAATAACTGTTCTACTTCTCCAGCGAATGGTTCTGATAGACATTTTATTTAATCATCTATAGACAAAATAAATAAGATAATTATTTTTTCTCAGTAAAAGAATTACAGGATAAACTACAAATTTCACCTTTTCTGCCGCCTGATGCTAAGGCAAATCCATTTAAAATAAAGGCTAAACATATTAGGCTCCGTATTGCAAAAACGTTTCAAAACATTCTTCACCCTCATACTGAATTTCTTTGAAACAGTCATGGAGAAAGAAAATGAATTTTGAAACTTTAAATTGGGTAATTAATTACACTCTAACTTACACCCTCTTGGAAGTTACTATGGAATTAAAAATATATGTTGAATGTGAAAATGGAAGTGACGCTGTAGGATTTCCAGGGTGGAGCCTTAAGAGAGATGCAGCTCCCATCTTCCCTGCTTAGAGCACCCCAGCCTCCGCATCAGCAGCCCTTCCAGCCCGAGGCCACGCTGGAAGGAAGCTCAAGGGAGCGGCGAGGAGGAGCACGAAGGCATCAGACCCTCGCACGAGTCACCTAGTCCAGCGCCAACTGAAACCCCACAGACTGTCCGAGTTGACACCGTGTGGAACAGAAGAGCAGCCTGGCTGAGCCCGGCCTACACCCCTGACCCACGGGATCATGAGCTACGAACAAATGATCGTTGTTTGAAGCCACTAAGTTTGAGGCACTTTGCTATGTTGCAATTACTAACCAAAAGAGCGGGTCAGGCACGCCACCTGAGAATCTGCAACGCTGGTGACGCTGACGCGCTGCTGTGCAGACCTCACTTTGCAAGGAACTAAGGTAAATCATAGCTGTAAAAAAGTCCCTGAATACTATTCCATTTCTGGCAGGTTAACTTGACATTATAAGATAAAAATTCCTAAAAACAACACCTACACATGAAAGTTAAATGAAACATTTTCATTTCAACATTAAGGAATTCCGCAGATTAAAAAATATCGATAAATACAAATAATTACTTCTAACAGAAACTTAATTATCCTAAAGATATTTACAGAATGAAACAGTCAGAAAGACTATTATATTATCATTCACTGACACTTCACGGTGCCCTTTTCTGGTAACCATTTAACAACAATAAAGAATAACTGTTGTTATTTTAAAATTTGGATCAGATTAATTATCACTTTGAAAAATGAAGCTAAACAAGGCTCTAAGAATTAAACTGCTCAAAAGTAAAGCATTAGCTAAATCTTCCTGTTGAAGTACAATAATTACACTCAGACCTCAATCAGCCAAATTTAGAAAGGCGTGGAAAGCGATATTTCTTGTTCAGGTGAGTATTACCTGGGGGAAGCCAGGAAATGGAGAGAAGTTAAAAAAGAGAAGCCAGCATAAGAAGAAATAACATCCACGGCAGAAAGAACCACCCGCCAGGAACATGGCACTCGTCCTCGCCATGTGGGCAAGTCCGCTTCAGACACCCCGAGAACGTCGAGTGAGCCCACCCAAGTCTTCAGTACTGTGATTCCGGTGTCTATCTGTTGGTTAGTTTCTAGAAGAGACTGGTAACGTTTTCTTGAGACCACAATGACAGTTATGGGTAATCAAGGTTTGCTGGTGTTTATTTTTGTCGTATCATTGTGAACTCATGACTCTAAACACGTGGAGGTTTCCATCGATAGCAGCTCTGACCCTTTCTGAGGCTCAGGTTGTCCTGTCTGTGGCCGGGGGTCCCTTTTGGTTGGTGCCTTTTCCTGTCCACATAGGATTGAGTGGCTCCAGCCTTGATACAAACAGATGAGGCAACACCACACGAGGCAATCATTGTCTTTTTTCGTCAATGTTTGTTGCTTTGAAAAACTCAGGGGAAGTCATTTGTGCTGAAATAGACTGTGAATATTTTAGGAGTTTTAAACTTGTAATATATTCTGCTCATACAATATACAAACATAGTATTAAACAAGTAAATTGAGATCGAATAGGATAAAATGGAAGATGTAGGTAGAATGGGAAATACCTCGGCCCAGAGAGTGGTTAAAAGAGGGTCCTGGAGGGTCCCGAGAAAGTGAACATGAGTGGGAGAACAGGCTAGAGAAGCACAGAGAAAGCCCTAGAAAGCAGGCAGTGCTGGGGCAGCCAGACGGACTGGGAGGGGATGGACGGGGCCAAGACAGATCTGATCCTACTCTGGTCGTCCGCTCTTTCCCTGCAGGCCTGTGACAGTGGGACCTCGAGTGGGACACACACCGCTGCCCTCCTGCACCTGCAGACTCCCAGCGCCCCATGTCCTGGCTCCCCTGGGCTCTCAGCCCATGTCAGGCCGCCCACCCAGGAGGTGTGAACACACGGGACAGGTGAGGGTGGGCTCTGAACCCCACTGTCATGGCCTATGTGCACGCCTCAGCCTCAGTTTCCCTGTCTGTAGAATGGGGGTAGGTCACACGTGGATCACATGAAAGCAGCTGGTGGCCACAGCATGGTTCTGGGTAAACGCTAGTTCCACCTTTCTTTCCAGAAGCACGGTGAGACAAAGCAGCCCCACAAACAGAAGCCACACTGACCGTCAAGGCCAGTCTTGCGTCTGGACATCTGATGGCAGAGAAGACCGGCAGAGGCAGCAACGCTGGGGTGGACGCTGGCACTCTGCTCACCGCTGAGTAGCACTGCAAGAGTTATTTCTTTTTAAAGTATGCCCACTATTCAAGTTTTCCCAGGAACACAACACCGTGAGTCCAACTCTGCCCTCCGCGCTAACACAGCTGGAATCATCTGAAATTCTAATCTAACCAGGTCCTGCTGCCAGGGTCTCAGAGTCCCGTCTCCCTGCAGTCCCTCTGGAAGTGCCCTGCAGCTCTTCTCCGGCGACGAGGCCCCAGTGGAAATCACGGGCCTGAGAGGCCACGCGGAGCCCAGGGGCAGACGAGGTCTCACGCCCCCAGGGGCTCCCTGCTCTCCCTTCTCCAGCCAGTTTACCAGGAGTTGGTCTCTGCGATGGGGTGAGACAGACAAAACCCAGCGGGCCTGACGTCGGCTGGTTCTTCTCGATGCCCACGCTCAGCGTCGACAGCCGTGGACCCTCCTTTTTTTTCAGGCTGGACTCTGTTACGAGACCAGATCCTTCACCGGCGTCAGGCCACACGGGGAAGCAAGCATTTTCCTCACAAACAAATGTGTCAGAACCATCTCTCCCTTTGGGGCCCCTCAAACGCTTCACATGATCTCAGCTCTCTGACTCACGACAAGGTGGGACGTGCAAAGCCCTCTGGTGTGGGGACTCCGCTGCTGCGCCTTCACACAGCGGGCAGGCCTCTGCTTGCCCGCTTCCTTGAGTGGGAAAACACACCCATGTTTCCTGAGCAGCTCACCCACCTCCACCTCGAGGAGCTTTAAGCAGATCTGTTCAAGAAAGTTCCTGAAGGGGACCCTCCTGGCGGAGGCCTGACAGCTCCTGAGGCGGCAGCTGCACGATCTGTGAGGCGGCAGGGGGAGAAACTCATCCATGGCGGACCAGCCTAGAGAGAGGGAATCTGAAAAGAGACTCGTCACAGTGTGCTGCGCCAGCACTCGAACAAACAATGGAGAGAAACACAAAGACGAAAACAACCACTGCCACGGGCAGAGGAAACAGTGCTTAAGAAAAGACAGCTGCCCACATCCTTGACCTGAGACAGAAGAGCCTGCACCGCATCCCGAATCCCAGAAGGGAGAGCCCGAGCCCCCATCCCTGATCCCAGACGGGAGAGCTTGCGCCTCTGTCCCTGATCCAAGATGGGAGAGCCTGCCCCCGTGTCCCTGATCCCAGAGGAGAGAGCCTGTGCCCGTGTCCCTGGTCCCAGAGGGGAGAGCCCGAGCCCCCATCCCTGATCCCAGAGGGGAGAGCTCGCACCTGTGTCCCTGATCCAAGATGGGAGAGCCCGCCCCCACGTCCCTGATCCCAGAGGAGAGAGCCTGAGCCCATGTCCCTGATCCCAGAGGGGAGAGCCCGCCCCCGCGTCCCTGATCCCAGAGGAGAGAGCCT